CAAGCAACTAAATCATATTTCAGATAACATGACCTAGGTTTTATGCTAACTAAAAGTCTAGATAAGAGCTCGTGGTATTTTACAATAAAAAAGTTAACAAAGAAACTTTAAATTATAATGATTTAATGTATAACAGCTAATAAACACGAAGCTATATTTTATTTCCCAATGAGTTTCCAGTGTCGAAGTACTTACAAGAGGTATTTTATATTTATTTAGTCAATTTTTTAATTGCGCGCAGACGGAATCGCGGGCGACAGCTAGTATTAATATAAAAACTATAAGATACATTCATTTGATATTCAGGTAGGTCGTAAATAAATAATATTGGATGCGTACAAAGCCGGTCAAAGGAGGTGACAGGAAGCAGGTGGGCCGGTGGTTAAGAGGGTCGATGTATTGTGAAGGACAGATGTGTTGGGACGGCTTTTTAATGCATGGGGCCTTTATGGTCATACTTGTATGTTACGTACTTAGTGTTCGAAGGTATAATGTGTGTCTTGATAAATTAAGAACACAATGAGAGGTTAGGAATAGAATAAAATATAAAGCGCTTTAAAATCTAAACCGTAAAATATATGAAAAAACGAAATTATGGAAAACAGAAATATTTTCATAGAACCGATAGAATTTAAACAACCTAATATTTTCAAGACCCTTGAAAATACCTAAACAAATTAAAATAAAATTAACATCAAGACAGCAATAGGGATTACTGATTTTTCTGGTCCAGTGAAGCTAAACAGTGTTTATGATAATTCAGTGTAAGCTGAACGCAAGGCAATGAATCGCCGATGAAGCGAATTTATGTAACGATTCGGCCTCGAACGGCGAATTCACTGCAAAAACATCAGAATTGATGAAGGTAGAACATTCATGTTAATAAATTGTTTTATAAACTTGTCCTACTATTGATCTAACGACTTAAAAAGCAACCAATCTACGCAAATATTACAAAATAAGAATTGTGTCTTTGTAACTAATAAACTCAAAAACTACAACACCGATTGCTAAAATTATTTGACGATAGGGTGGTATGTACATTATCAATGAGTAATATAGGCCAAAATACTAGAATAATTATTGAATTAAAACTCCACGGACAAAGTCGCTGGCGCTCTCTAGTGTTCAATCTAACTAATATTATAAATGCGAATCTTTGGATCCATAAACGATTGGGTGGATGATAGACGGTTTCTCCAGAACGGCTGCATATATCACGCTAAAATTTGGCATAGATGTCAAAAATAGTCTGGGACAACACCTGTTAATAATTAAGTTTTTTTAATTCCGCGCCGACGACGTCACGCGCGAAAGCTAGTATATTAATATACCACGTGTCTCGACTTGAAACATTGGATTGCTGTAGGCAGGTTATAAAAACACGTGATAAAATCCTTCCCGCAGACGGCAGTAAATCAAAATAGCGGGTACATTCGTACTGTTACCGTGTTATGTGTCTTCCGAGTTGTTCCCGAGGCGGGCTATTATCGCCCACAAGCTCTAAATCTAAAGATAACGGGCCCAAGGATCGTCGCAGCTCCTATCAAATTCCCTCGCCATGTTTAAAATAAAAATTTAAAGGTGAAGGCAATTTATTTGATATATGTCATTTAAAATTACAAGATAATGCAAATTTTTGAAATACTGCAAATTGGTATCAGCGCGACTAGGAATTAATTCTAAATTGATACATAAGTCCTATTGATTTCCAACTTTTACCGTGAGTTTCCGAGCCCAAAATCTCAGTTTAAACCATATTATCTCCTTGTAGTCAAAGATAATCACAAAGACGAAGATGTTTTATACACACATTATGGAATCAGAAACCCACGATAAATATTGGCAATAATATATGCAATAAGTTTATAAGAAAATGAGAACATTTGTGAATGAGTATTTTATTTTACCATTATTTTTAAATTTTAGCAAAATATTTAAATGCTTAGATTCAATACACATAGTTATTAATTTTACGTCAGTACAAAAAACATGGGGTGTTAAAATAATAGATTTTACGGCAACATAATAAATGATAAAATACAGCAGGAACAATAACTCAAATACAGTATCCTATTATAACGGAAACCATAAATTCGCAGAAACCAATAAATCTCATAACTATTACGCCAATTAGGCAGCGGTCAGCGACCCCTTAATCCGTGCTCCAAGTTTGCAGAAAAAGGGTCCAGGGCCGGCCTTAGCTTCGCTCCAAATTGATTTATACCCAAAGATAAGGAGATCGAAAAGTTCTAACAAAACTGTTTTCCAAAACCTGCTCTGTAAAATGGGTAAAACTATTGTTGAATCGAAGGAACGCGCAGTGGAAAGTGCCATTGTAATAAGTTATCGGTGAAGGATTTGTGGCTGTGAGTTGGATCGCGCACGGCCGCCCCGATTCTGATATTGATCTCAGTCGGACGTCGTTTCGCCGGCAGATGAAAAACAGTAGCTCGGAACGTCCTCGTGTGGCCTTATTTAACTATTCATTTACTTATTTGCAATCATAAAATGAAAAAGGGACAATTTAAAATGAGAATGATTAATCAAGAAATTATTCTGTTTGCAGTATCAGATAGGATAAATTCAGAAATGGAATATGGTGCATAATTTCGAAGTGTTTTAGCTAACTTTCTTTGCTTTCTTTACATTTCTTGTTACCGATTTATCGACGAGACGTCTCTTTAATGGTGAGCCATACCTCACTGTATTGCCAATGACGATTCTCTCCGACAATCGGAATTGATCATCGTAAATAGGCCGCAGAACTGCATAACTGATTCCTATAAGTTTACCTTTATAGAGTTCCTCTCTCATTAAAGTATTTTCAAAGAATCTAGTCTTAGTATACTTAAGTACGCGGTCTATATCAGCACTGGTAAGTTTCAATAATGCAGCAATTGCTACTTTATCATAATCATCCGATTCTCTGCAGTCCACTTCGAGTTTTAATTCTGCGTCTTGTTGTGGATATATTATTTGTTTGATTTGAAAACGATTAGGTCCGGAGCCAATCATGAAGGCGCATCTGAAACTGTTCTGTTTATCGACTAGATTGTTCAACCAGTGGGCGTTCCTCTCTAAAGCGTCCAGTACAAAGCTGACGAAGTCATTGACATCTTTTTGTTTCTTATACGACACGATAGCGGCGAGCGCGGTGTCCGGAAGGTACTCCGGCTTCGGTGAGTAAGTATCGGGCAAATCAACACGTCTCGATGATGATTTCTTCGTAAACATATTAAGCGGTACACAATTTAAATAGTTAAATAACTTCTTAATTTTTTTATTGGCAGCAATTTTGAAATTACTAGAATTTTTTTTGGTTGTAATATAAAATTGATTTTTTGGATGGATGACAAATTTGAAAACAAATCAACGTTCAAACGGAATGTCAGTCATGTTAATGTCATTTCAGTCATTTTCTTTTATAACTTTTACACCATTAAGGTTTTATATATTATATTCAAAAAATATTTTTGTGTTTCCTAACAAAGAAAAAGAGAAAATAGGATAAAAAAAAATCCTCTCTCATTTATAACTTCAGTACAAATGTTAGTTCCGAGAAAACAAGGAACTTATTACAAATGTTTTCCGAACGAAAACAGAAGCAAACAATAAGCACCTGTTAGCGTAAATAAGAGACATTTTTGATTTCTTTTATAGTAATTAACTGAGAGTAGTATGAGGGGATGTGGGGAGCTGGTAGTCCGCCTCAAACAATGTCCTTTACGGACGCTTTGTTGACAACAAATCACTTACATCTGATCACTCGACAAACAATACAACATTCTTAATACTTCCTTTGATACATACCGAATGTTATCTTAGCCTCCAATCAACTTTTTATTGCAAAGAATAAACAAAATTATGAATTAGTACAAACTACACCATTGTTTTCAGATCCAAATCTATTCAGCTATCATGGAGTTGATAGTAAACAATTGAACATTGGCATTTAATAAATAAGTACGTCCGCGCGTTATTAATAAAAAATAATAATTAATGACCTATGTTTTCTTTCAGACTATGTTCTACACCTATGCCAAATTCCAGCGAGATATATGCGGCCATTTTGGATATACCTTCTAACAAACATCCAAACAATTCGCTTATTTATTAGTTAAAAGTAATATTTACCTCAGGCATGATTATTTTTGTTATTAGCAAACTATCATAAATAGAAACGAAAAAGAAACACAATTCACAATGATTATGAAGTTAATAAACGGTACACGGTGATTGACAAGTCATTCAACCCAACTGTAACAACAGTTTCAAACAGTATAATAAGCCAGCAGAGTTACAGAAGTAATTCTACTATGATGCTTTCCTTTTATCTTCTGTTATATCGATTATTACGCTACCTCTTTTTTCAAAATAATGGTGCGAAGATGTTGTACTTTTTTATTAAATTTAATTTCGTAATGTCCGCCCTAAGATAAAAAGAAAATTAGTTACAGTAAAAGTTATATATCGTTTTACTATTAACTGCTAAAATGTTGTAAATGAATTAGTAATAAATTTCACGTTTCAATAAACTGATTTTATTTGTATTTGAATCCACTAAAAGGTTATTTTTTGCGCGAATCAAAAATAGTTATGACACTACCTACTATTGTGTCATTGCAAATAAAATTCATAGAGGTTGGACAAGTTTTATTAAACTTATAAACCAGTTCTATTGGTGTATTATTCAACCAATATAATAGATATATGACATGACATGTACAAAAACCTAGTAAAAAATTGTAGTCTAGACGGTTTAATATAATTACAAATATTAACTTCTTTGCGTGTTAAATTGTCAATTCAAAGGAAACCAATAAGTTCAATAACACTGCCAATTTAAAAATCTGAATGAGATATTGCCTTTCAAAGGGAAATACGATCAAGTATTGCCAAATATTGAGGTCAACGTAAACCTACGAAAGTATAACAGTATTATAAGCATGGTTGTAAATCAGAGGTTAGGATCCAAATCAAAACAATGTGTAACTTACCAAAAAGACAATTATCAGAGAGCATCCCGTTAAAAGATTCGCTCCAACGGCAATGATGTCCGTAAGAACGCACATTCACACTATAGTAAACGTCACACAAGCGCAAACACCGTAGTAAACGTCATGTTCAATGTTAACTTGGTTAATTATACACTTTAACGTTAGTTTAGCGCACTGCAAATAATAACACACTTGTCAAACTATTTGTACTATTACATATTACAAGCACAAGCCCCGATGTGGCCATGAACCATTTAAAATACGTAATTTTTCGTCGTAGACGACCTAATCACCACTCCTTTTCCCTTACAGATTTCTATGATAGCGAACAGCTGCGGTGCGTGGTTGTATCAAAACAAATACATGTGCTGCCATCTATGTCTCGGGAAGTACTAAATTAGTAACATTTTCTCCGTTCCACCGCTGTCATGAAAATGTCCGATTAGTTCCAAAATAACACTACAGGTGGCGGTGTACTCAATAGAAATGAAATATGAATGAAAAATAACGTAAACGTTAGAACGCTTAAGTGAAAAATAATAAAATTTAAGTATTTGTTGAATTAAAATCTAAAAAATATGTAAAAGAATACAGCACGTCAAGTATATATACCGTATTTCGCATACTGTGGGAGGCATTAGGAAAAGTCTAAGACTGGAAATGGACAGATAAAAGCTGATAATTACAAGGAATTTCAAATTGAATATATCCAATATAAATATTAGCTTTGGAATTAAGCCAAAAAAATAAGTTCCGCCGTAACAGTGCTATACACTGCCGTGACCAGGATTCGAACCTGGGTTACTACGGCCACAACGTAGGGTCCTAACCACTAGACGATCACGGCTATCGGAACGGTAGCTTTAAAAATGAAATTGGCGAAACTATAAAAAATATCTAAGAAAAATTAAATATAAAATAATTATTGTAATATTAACTATTTAAACGCAATAGTTGCCGCTTTTAATACTTTTTCATAACAGCATATTATTTGAACGTACTAATTATACATAAAAGAAAATTTTAAATTGCGTTCATAGTTAACTTTATTAATATTTTTTCAAACGTTTTTTCCTTATATTTTTTTCGTTATAATTTTTCGTAATAAATATTAATCAGCATTGTATACGTATGTATCGGTCGTAATTATTCCCAATTACTATGACTTTGGTCATTTTCACGTTCGCTTCTCCTCTTTTTCTATAAATTATCTCCTAATCCCATTCCCTAAGTTTATCTTAAACGTTGAATATTGTTTTTAATTTATAATGTAAAGTGGTCCAATTTTATTTACAAGTACCACTATTTGTTCTTTCCTTACAACGATGTAGTACCAAAGTATTATCAAGATTATGTACATATACTCACCAAACGATCCTAAAAATAAATCAAAGGCAAATAGAGGGGGAAAGAAATAATACCAAAGAAATCATTGCTATCGTTTATTGATTTAAAATACAAAACTTAGTGACATAAAGCTCTATCCTTTTATTGTTACAGTGCCCACGAACCGACAATCCGATAGGAAATAAACATTTATCTCGCTCGCACACCGTCACGCACAACCCGCGCCTGTCACAGGATAAATAAATACATGTATATTACATACTCAAGCGCAAACATCTAGGGGGCCATCTTCCGTATTGGATTCAGAACTATTCAAATAGGTCGGTGTTCATATCTTCGTTACCAGACTAGCTTGTTACATACACGTCAACGGCAGATTTCCCTGACATCGCTTAAGACACGCTCGCTTCGCATCGGCGCACACTTGGACATAAGCAGGACAAGTTGTACAAAGACCTTTATAATATCAATGGAGACCCCATGACTCATAACGTTAGGGTAGAGTGCGGTTCGGCGACCGCCCAGGGCGCTGGATGGAAAGGGGCATCGCAAGTTTGCGAATTACAGTTGCCGCCTATCCAAAAGACATTTTTAAAAAAGGGGAGCCATATAAATCCCGCCCAGGGCGTTGTTACCACTAACAAATGTCTGTCCTTTCGCACCGTTGGCCTCAGTATCGAGAATGCGATGTATGTTGAAGTCACCAAGTGAGTGTCACCAGTAGAGAGTGAATAGGGATCATCGGTTCGCGCCGGGAGCTAGGCCGATGCGAGCGGCGAACAAACTAATCGATTATACAATAATGCTTATGTGTAAAATAATCGTATGAAGCAACACATTACCGCACCCCGCGCTTCAATAGGAGCTTTATGTTTACAGTTATATATCGATACTATTAGAATAAAAATAAATACAGTTTAAATACATAAATTATATTCGGAAACCTGCCCGCGATACAATTTATCACCCTATTTTTATATCATTCCGATCCGTTTCCCATACCTATCTCTTATTCCTAACGATCCTACAACATCATGAAGCAAAAAAGTATTACAGTAAATATTATACAGACACTCGAAAAATGTATACTTGTCGAAACGGATGATAATAACTAGAAATAGATTCAAATCTACATAGAATTAAAATATAATAATGCGAAGAGATTGGCGCGCGCACCAAACTAATTAGGGCTAAACAAATACTTTGATGCTTCATGTGCGAATACGAGCCAGCCGCGGCCGACAGACGGCGGCCATGTAGTCCCAGCTTGCACTTGCATATCACACGACTAATGTTTACAATCTCTGCTTACAAACAAAAAGTACAACTGTTATTACTTCAAACTCAGAGATTGTAAACATTTTATGATCTGTGTTGCCATGATGTAATAAAAAAATAAATTTAAATTGCGTAAATTCATAAAAGTATAGGACTACATTGGACATCGTCTATCTGACGACTGCACACCATAGTGTTGGAGAGGGAGCATAAAATAATTCGGGAAAAGGGTAATAAAAAAATCATAGCAACATTGCAGAAAATAAAAAAAATCTTACATTTGCAATGTCGTAGTTTTAACGGCTCTATTGTGACCTCAGTCGTATAATATTAAAATGAAACTTATCCTTGTAGAACAAACATTTCACTATAGAGCCGCTAAATCAGCACGGCACCGTTACGACTATTCCAACGTTTTCCAAACTGTTGCAATTAAAATCGATTACGTATATTATTAAAAAAATATTTCAATCCACATGTTACAATTAAACAAATAATGGCGTATTTGAATGGAGGTTAGGGATGATCGATTTTTTTTACAAATTAATCGATGTTTTTATCGATATCACAACATCGATATAAAATTATCTATCGAACATAAAATATCACATTTTCTTGCACAACATTTTAATACAAAGTCATCAAGGCAGTACCACCTTCTTACATTACAGGAATTCCGACCTGGATAGAAAATAATTAGCTGTTAGCTATATTTATGTCTATTAAATTAAAAAGTTATTTTATTTAAATGCTGCAACATCGATATCTTTAAACATCGATAACAATCGATCATCCCTAAATGTATTTCGACGTATAAAACCTTAGAAAACGTAAATAGTCGCAAATCAGTCGCGTGCCTCACCCATATAAAGTTACCGGCACAATAAGGCAGTGATTCAGTGTATGCTGTACAAAATATCTCCTTTACAAAGTTACGACCAGTCTGTTGCGATGAGGTTTAGTCTATTGTACATTTTGTGAAACTAATTTCATGTATTTGTTGCTTTTTATTAACCGCATTTATATTATCGACATTTCGAGCGCATTACAACACTACGTAGTATAAAAATATTTTGAAAGCTTCAGTTAATGGCATATTGAAATAATTAAGCAACAGCCGTCTTTCGTAATAACAAAATTATATTGGACACATTTGTCTTATTAAATTGAATCATTAAAAACAGATTTTTTTTTGTTTTTAAATGTCCAAATGTGTCAGTATATTAGAACTATTTAGTCCCCGGTCTAGAAGCAATAAAATGCTGGAAACATCGGAAATTGAAAACGCACGTCATAAAATCCATCAAATTAGTTCCACATCGTGTGTTATTCGCATAAATATAAGAAATCATTAATCTATTGTAGATTCAAATCCAAAAAGGTTGAACGAGTCAGTAATTCAATTTATTAACTCCTATTTGAAATACCCAATTTTTTTTTTATATAAATGATTTCAACATTCCCGTAACCTACAAGTACATTTTGTGATTTATTTTTTAATAGAATTACCTATACACCTATTCTTTGTTTAACATATTGAATACTCCGAGGGGACAAAAGTAATTTAAACGAGTTAGAGATAGACGACGGCCGTCCACTGCCCTAACGAAGCTCGCCTCCGAGACCAACAAAACTTTTTACAATATACAACTCTTTAATGCGAGGGCAACGTTTCAAATTATTTAACACGTTTCTGTATCGAAATGGAAACGATTTGTGCAATCGAAAAATATTCATTTATCAAATATCTATTTTCAATAAGCGCGCTCGCTCTCGGTACAAAACGAATTCTGAATTGGCCCTATTTATCTTCAGTCATCAGTTGCCGACACTTTATTTTTTTAAATATAAAGCATGCGATAATAACTGAATGAAAGCTTAACTAGCATACACAATAACTAAACTATACATTATTCAGTTAATCATTCGCAGTCTGTATCCGTAATTAGTTCGTTTTCTAAATTTTATATACAATATTTATTTTCTACCATATTGCGTCCTTGATATGCATTGCGTAACAATAAAAAAACCTAGCTTTCATGCCCTGGATGCGTCCGTGTGTGGAGACAGGGCCCCCTCCCCCTCCCCCTCCCACCCCTCGCCGGGACCCTCCGAACTTTTTCTAAGTAAGCGATTAAGAAATAATAGATTACATGTTACAGAGTAACATATCGTCACCATAGTGTTCTCTTTACAGTCAGACTTATCGCGATAAATAAAAATATAGAATTATAAATATGGATTCAGTCCAGGTCTCGTGCACACACGAGATAGTTCCAAAAGCCGATTCGTTCCGATTTCTCTAGAATTAATCACTACATCCGTCCGTTGGCTCGGCTCGCGCCTTCCTCTATATATAGAGTGATTTAACTTTACTTAACCTAAACCAACCGTCGCGTTCGCTTTTGGCTTATAAAATACTAGAGCGTAATTATGTCTATCGTCTTCGATTATGGAGCAATGAATTAATCTAAAGCCAGTTTCCGCTAGCGTACCCGCTTTCCGCTCCGCTCGTGTGTGTGCGCGGAGCCTCCCCCGCCCCTTCGCCCCTCGCCCCACGCAGACGACTCCGTGCTAATTAAACTAAACCGAGTACAAAAGTCACTTTAATGTCATTTAAACAACGCAATCGTCTTTGTACAGCACCTAGCTTCCATGTCCATTTCTCCTGCACTCATGTTTTTGTTTAAACACAACAGTTCCACTAAAATAACTTCTTACTCCGATCATCGCATTCCGCTACTGTATATCTCGGGTTGAGATTTCTCAAAGTCCAAGTATGATAACATACTTTGCTCCTTTTGTATACACTTGTGAATTATTCACAAGCTTTATACGTTTGTAAAGCGAGTGAATTGCGAACTCGAAGCCGTACCCGTTCATTTAATACAGTACTAAAGTAGTTCGCCGGTGTGAGCGGGTGACAATCTGCATCGTAGCTTGCGTGAAGACGTTTAGCGCTGCCGTTTCCATTTCCATTTGTTTACTTGTTTTCGAAAGCGAACGCGTCATATAAGTATCATGAAATTGTTTTTCTCTATAGCCTATCTTGCGTCACATTCAGACCTGTCACTTTAGATACGGATCGCAATTTAGTTCGTTCGCTTACACTGACCGTATGATGCGAATCTGCAACGCTCACTCGTGAAGTCTTCAGTGAATCGTCACGAAACTAGCACTTTAGTATCCATCTGTGTCGCCCGCTCACACTATGACGTGCACTTCACATTGGCTGGGAACCGCAACTCGCTCGCGTCACTGCCGATGAGGTGACGCGCTCGGTGGCGTCCAACGCGCTCGGCGGCGTCCAACGTGCCCCGTTGGCGTCCAGCGCGCCCGTTCGTGCGCCCGCTAGCCCCCCAGGCGGCGCCTAGCGCGCCCGCTTGCGCGTCCGCCTGCGCTTTTTGGGGCGTGCGCGGGGCGCATGCTGTGCGGGGGGCGCTGGGGGCGCGGGAGGCGCGGTGGGCGCGGGGGGCGCGCGGGCGCCGGGCTCGCGCTAGTGTATGGCAACGGGGCTGTGCTGCAGCTGGCAGACGGGCAGCATGTCGTCGTCGCGGCGCACGCTCTCCACCTCCATGCGCTCCGCGGGGCCCCACAGCCGCGCGCCGCCCACTGACGACACATTACACACTAACATATTTTGATAAACAAAATCTTTACAATGTTCTTATTCATAAAATATTAGTTTTTGGACCTCTATCTGTAAATCGGACACTAAATGATGAGGTACTAACGCCTTTTATTTTATGAATAAGAATATTTATTATTAATTATAATTCACAATGCAGATTACGACAAATACATTTATAAGAGCAAAATGTTTTACAAAGATTGCGTTTTACAACTATGTGGTTAAATAAATGTAAATATTCATTTAAATACCATAAAAACAGTCATTTCAACATACATTTAGAATTAACTTCGTATTCTGCATTACAACATTATTTAAAAAATTAAATGACGATAATTGATATTTGAAATATCATCAAACATAGACTATACGCATGCTACTTTAATAAGGTAACTAGTATAATTATATAAAATTTTACTTAATTATAATATGTTCATATCGTCATTTAAAACTAAACATACGATAAAACTATCCTTGTCGGTAACAATTTTTTGTATATCGAACAAGAATATTTCCAATTCGTAAATCAAATACTTGTATTTACTTTTAAATATAAGAGTATACGCTAAATGTATCTATAGGATACACACTCCTCAATAATCCGTTCCTACATTATAACGTTCACAACTAATAACTTTGTGTCTTGTGTTGCCTAAAATTAAAAATGTTTGCGACATCTGCAACTACATATTATGTGTATTTAAAAAAACACCTACTACATGCTATTCAATTTTGTAAAATCCCAATATTGTTTTTAACATTTCCCATTTTAAAACATTGCTTTCAATAACTTATATTAGGTAATAAGAATAAAAAGCATTGATAAAGCGCCTGAGAAAATAAATAGCAAAGAATTATAAAAAAAATTAAAACAAAAATCGTATACCAATGTAGCTACAGATTGATACAGTGAAAGCCATGCAAATACTGACAAGATCATGCGATGGAGTATGCGGTAACCTCAACTAACTGGGACTGATCCAGATTGCTCAAACCAACATATTTTTTTTTAAACAAATGATATCAGTAGAAAAACAAAAAAAATGAAAAATCATTAAAATAATGTTGGCAGAACAATACTGTCACAAAATCATTGCAAAAAAGTTTTATTGCAAATTTTATAACCTCAAACCTGACATTAATGACCAGTAATTTGAACCAAAGAGGTTTTTAGGATTCATTTAGACATAATCCAAAATTCTACGAACAATTTTCGGCAGTCGTTTTAGAGCGAGATAAATATATGGGAAATACATACATTTGTCTCGCTCTCAAGCGATTGCCGAGTTCTGTTTATACGATCGGCTTATGTCTTAATGAACCTTTAGTATATATTTAAAACACACACAAACCTTTTACCATGCATTCATATTCGATTATAAAAAGTTTGTGTACATTTGCAATAGACTTTCCTGCAAGGACATAAAAGGAGAGGGGGTATAAAACATTCGGACATGATAGACGGCAGACCTGGCAGGTAATGTTAGGCACTAGTTGGCGGCGCTATGTCGCGCGGGCGCGCCGCCGGACCGCTCTAGTCATCGCGGGTCCGACGGCCCATCTGCCGCGGGAACCACAATAAACAAACATTAACTTTTTTTATTTCTTTTTTAACACTTAAAGAGAGAATTAAAAGATAATTCCATTTCCCATTTACCTCCTCTTCCTTTGCAAAGAGAGGATTAGATCAGATAATGGAAAATTAAGTCCGATTTCTATATCGCTTCGCTTTTTTATGTTATATATAAATGTTAACACTGAACATTTATAGCTGACATGTAAGAAGAGGCGTCATGACAATTAATTAATATTGCAATAAATTTAATCGCCTTTCCTTTCATTTCATAAATGAAAATGTATTAATACATTTTAAAAACCATTTATAAACGGAAACACTTTATCATTTCATTCAAAAACCTATTTAAAATAAATTAGATTTTGAAACTGTCACATTCAGAATCATTAAGTGATTACTTATGTCGTTTAGTGCAGATTTCTCATACTAACCGTGGGTTTTTGAGACCAAAATCTCTAAATAAAACATATCATCCCTATCATTGTCATTGACAATACAGAGATAACAATATATTTTAAATTGAGTTTTTATTCTCAGAAACCTACAGTAAATCACTCATCACTTAACATCTCTGAGTTAGAGAATAAAGTTTATATTTCTGAGCCAAAGTGTTCCCGTATCCCGATGGAAAGAGTAATGGAAGCGTTATGTATGCATAGATCATGACACAAGCTCGGAATGATAATGATTTTCGACTAAACGAGTTAATAAATTAATGGAAAATAATTTGAAAACATAAATGCCAATAAACACCAATCTGTTAAAACATAAAGTTAGTCCCAATAAACATCAATACTATACACATCATGCCAATTATTTATTCGGATTAATTTTGTATTATAAATAGTTATATTAGATAAAGATATACATATAACTTTTAGTTAATTTTGTATATTTTATAATGTTATCCTCATTTAGTGTTATGTATTAAAAAGTTTTAAATACAAGTCTATCTGAACCGGTGGGTGGGGTCAAACTAAAATATGACAGCTCACTAGCGCTCAGTCAACATCAAAAAAATGTATAGATGCTCTTTGTACTGTAACTGGCATGTTATTTTTTCTTTTATGTCTTTTTAAGTAGGTTTTATGTATATTCTGCCAGAATCAACTGCGACAGCAGCGCCCCTCACCGGTTCAGACATCCTCATTTGTCACTTTCTTGATTTATATCTCTTTAAAAAAGCTTATTAAGTCAGATTATGGTTTAAAATTATTTTGGTATTGTGGTCATTTTGTTCACAAGCAACATTTGATTGTTTAATTTGAAATCTAACTAACCAATTTAAAAACATTCTAGTACATAGTTTTATCAAAGATATTATTTGTGAGGTAATTCACTAGAGGAATAAGTGGGAGTAAATGTGTTATATCTGTGTGTCTGTATGTGTTACGTCTGTGCGTACTGACCGTGCTGGTGGTGCGACTGCGCCTGCGCCTGCTGCGTGTTGGTGGCCTCGTCCGCGGTGCGCTTGAAGAAGTTGTGCTGCAGCGAATAGTACGGCGTCACTCGCTGCTTCGGATCGTACTCCAGCATACGCAGGATCAGATCCTGGAATTGTATACAAATATACATTGAAACATTTGATTTTGTAAGAATAATTCAATAGAAAGGAAAGCATTTACTGAGTACCGCATATCATCATTATGGTCTTAAAAATGAACACCATTATTTGTATGTTTGTTTGTTTGTCGCCTATGTGTTTGTCAAACACTGCTTAGATTGTCATGAAACTTTTGTAGCGGGTTTTGAAGACGCCATAGAAGGTTTCGTCGTCATCATCAGCGTTTGATGCCCACTGCTGGACATAGGCTTTCCCCAAAGCTTTTCATAGTATGCGGTTCTTTGCCTTCACCATCCAACGACTTCGGAAAGCAGAATTCAGTGAGCTCATAAGAAGGGACATGTCTATCAATGGTATATGGATTGTTACAGTTTGATGTGTGACCTTAAATTTGAGGTAGTCAGAGACGGAGTGTCCAGGCTCGCCGCGACGACGCGCAGCTGGTCCGCCGCCCTCCACGCCCAGGATGTCGTGCAGCTGCCGCGACCCTGGCGGCCGGTACTTGCGGTACCCGCTGCAACATATAAATACATTAGTAAAATTGTACACGAATCAATGACCAATAAAATCAACTAACTCTGAACCTATGATATGATACTATGGAAAAAAATGATATTCCACGCTCCAAAATTTAATATACCCAAGAATAAAGTATGACTTGAAGAAATTATGTGGTCTTGTTGCCATGAGCACAACTCTTTATAAAAAAAAACTCTATTCGGCAAAGAAAAAACATTTTTCACAAAATTTTGTGGGCTCCGTCTCCGGAACTAGTTGAAAATGTGTTTCAGGAGACAGCGCCTTCTCTTATCTATTGCCTAAAATTATATATAGTCTCGTAACATATTATGTGCAATTAAATATAGATTATTATATTATTTAGATATAAATATAAATATTTACAACGACATTTACTTCTGTGTAAATATCATTTTCGAAGAAATATTTGTATAACTCACCTGCCATCCTTTCCGTTAACTTTTTTCAGTACATATCCGCCGCCCTCTGACGCCGGTAATTTGTCAAAGAACTTTCTGGTTTTGTGTGCCTATAAAAACATAAATACATCAAAGATTATATTATGCCATGTTATTATAACGTGTTACTTATTTTAACTGTACTAATATTTCTTGTAACAGTTCTCAACAAAGCTCTAGGGTTTTACTTTAATATAGTTTACTACAATAGCGGGAATTGAACCCATGAACGCGATCTATTGATTTGGGCTATTGCCCTACCTGATCGAGCAAATGATCCGGTGGCATGCCGAGTACTTCGACAATCTTGTTCATCTGATCGAGCTCGTTGGCGCCACTGAAGAGGGGCTCGCCGGTGTGCATCTCCACCAGGATGCAGCCCAGCGACCACATATCGATCGCCAGGTCGTACGGGATGCCCAGCAGCACCTCCGGAGACCTGTAGAACCTCGACTGGATGTACTGGTATATCTGGAAAAAACATCAACAATAATATAACTCACGCCCGTAACTCAGAAGGATAGATAGACACCCCGGACCTCCATTTGACAGTGTTCTATACGTGGGTATGTATTTACGCCGACATTTAATGCTTTCGCCAAACATCGGGAAACAAACGTCAACCTTTAATATATATAATCTACATCTATAAAGATAATGGTATTTTTGATGTGTGGGATTTTGTTGTGGGCGTATGGAGCGCAATCTGGTTACTATCCTACGCGTATCAAAAAAGGTTGAATCCAATTTCTCACCCACAACTTTTGATATAAACATAAAAAAAATATTTAAATGCTGCCATTGCGATTGTAATGATCTCATTCGGTAATTTTCGTGATTCGATCAGTACTCGTTTAAATAGTTTGCTATCAATGTTATTAATCTTACTAATATTATAAATACGAATGGATGTTTGTTGGAAGGTATCTCCAGAATGGCTCGCTGAAATTTGAGATCTGAGATCATAATCTGGAAGAACACATAGGCTACTAATCAGTTTTTTTAATTCTGCGCGGACGTAGACAGCTAGTTATTATATAAAACAATTGACGCAACCAACAAAGTGTACAAAATTACATAAGCAATGGAATAATTAGTGTAAAAACAAATTGTTCAATGATATAGTACTGCGTAAAATAATCACAATTAGCGTTTAATTAATTAGAGTAATATCGCAGTGAGGGCGGTCACTGGCGATAGTGGAGGACCGCGACCCATCAATGAATCGCTTATCTGCGTCCAAACACGACCCGCCAAAGGCAGTTCCTTAAACGCTGCGTAATAATTTAATATTTAACGCGCAATTGGCGATAACCCTTGCCGTGCCCGCGGCCGACGGCTCGGAAGGCCCCCGCGTGATTTATCTCGACAATTAGCTTCTACTCAGAATTGGATCTATAAATCGAGAACAGAGATATTAAATACGGCATCTATGGATTTTAATTGCATTCATAAATTTGCTTGTATTCTGATATCTTTAAATGTGTAATGAAACTATTGTGCAATAGCAGAACGAGGCAAAGGACTAAAATTAAACATGGGCGTACTTTAAGGTTAACCATAATCTTATCAAAATTATCGGCCCGTATATAAAGCCTACCTACGCAGCCCTGTCTTGGACAATCGCCATCAGATTTATCCCACGCTCTTTAAAACAATAAAAAACTAATTTCGACAACTCCTACGTGTGCAATTTACACGATGCTTAACTCGACAACTCGATGCAAAACTACATATTTCCAATAAATATAAAAATGTAAACAGATTAAAGAGTTTTTGACAGATGAAGAGACACTTACCCTTTGACCTAGTTGACATGAACTGCCGAAATCAACAATCTTGATGGCTGATCTCTTAGGGTTGCATAGCAAAATATTCTCAGGCTTAAGATCACAGTGAATTATATTTAGTTCTGTAAAGAGAATATAATTAAATTAGAATATTAACATTTTAAAAGTACGCATGTAAGTTTTTCTAAGAATAAATTCTATTTACATGAGACAAAAAAATATATATTTACGGGTTACATTAAATTATTGCGATTTGACAACGATATTCCGCGTTGTTTTAAGAAGTAAATGAATAGTTTCAATTTAATGTTCCATATTAGAGAAAAAACAACAAACTTGAGAGTAACATTTACAGACCTGGTTGACTAAGGAACAGTAGAGCGGTGCAGAGCTGCTGCGCGAACTTGCGCGTCAGGTTGAGCGAGACGCCGCGGAAGTTTGTGTTGCGCAGCAGATCGTACAGATTGTACGACAGCAGCTCAAACACGAGGCACAGGTGGTTCCGCCACATAAAGTGACGCTTCAGTTTCACTGTTAAACGTTAAACAATTAGTTATAGTTTTGTTATTTGATAAGAAGAAGAGAACTTGTGGCTAAGTTACATGATCACCAATAGCCCTTCTTTTATATCTTTTATGTCATCCCCGCATCTTGGCCGTATTCTTTTGAACCTGTTCTCTAGATTAGGCATACATTGTACCAATAATGTATTCTGCCTCAGTTCAAGGTAGCAACTAAATGATAACCCACTACACCATATTATTTGAAATTCCTAGCTATTAGACGATATCAAATGTTCCCAGCCATATGTCCTGAGAGTGGTTTAAAGTTAATTAATGTGCGATTTACCTATGTAATACTTATTTTCAGCATCTGCCCTGTTCATCATTTCTAGTAACTTGACTTCTATTTGTGCCTGGTTTAGGAAGGGTTTCTTATTCTTAATTATTTTTATCGCTACTTGACACTGCTCCTCGTGGTCGTACGCTTTAACAACCTGAAATAAAACATACAATAAGGTTATCGCGATTTTCCTACATCGTACAAGGTGACTAAGACGCCAACTGATTCGCGAAATGGTCAAATGCGTGCTTACCTTTAAGCGTTAAATCTACTTCCCCATCCCACCCTATTCCTTATATTCTAATTTACATTGCACTTCAGTACAGTGATATTACAAGCATATATATTTTTTTTTGGTTACCTAAAATATGAAGAACCGAAAAATCTAAAGGCGGTACAGCAGCTATATGCCTTTTAGGAATCCTAACTTGTATCTTGTAGTTCATTTTGAAGAACCTTAAGTTGTGCTTGGTAGTTGATCTATTGATTTTTTACTTATCTTTATGACAACTTTATTGCATAGATATCAATTTTCTATTTAGGAACTAGCGTAGACAGACAAACTATAACTGCAAGTAGCTAAGTAAACGTTAAAAATGTCTGCAATCTTACTCAAGTTCTGCGGCGAGGGCAATAAAGGATTCGAAGAATAAAAAACTAGGGTTGTGCAAAAAAACTATGCTGCTTATTTAACCGGAATGATTGCTCAATGACCTCTTTTTTCCAATTTATACACAAGATCTTTTAAACTACATTTTATTACAATGAAATAATAATTAGAAGTCAATATTATATACCAAATATCAAAATCTCATTGTTTGAAAAAAAAAGATTCCTTTTTTTAGGTGAAAGTCCACAAGCGAAGTGACAATCCTTTCAAAAAGTGGTCAATTATAAATTTATTGCCACAACCACAAACGTTTAAAAAAAATCTAAAAAAATCCCTTCGCGATAGCAAAAAGGTTTTATAATCAATAGGCTTAGAAGCTGGATATCTCACCTGTCCAAAGGATCCTTTTCCTATGGGCGAGGAGATTTCGTACCGATCGAGGAACTTCTCTCCCTGTTTGATGATGTAGTCGTGGTTATCATCATCGTACCCATCGTTGTATAACTTTCTCTCCTTCTTATGTGAACCGTCATCACCAAGGTACTGTTGCGCTCTCCGCTTCTTCTTTGCATAGTAAACCTGAGAACAAAAGAAGAGACATTAATATAGTCTTTTCAATTTCATAGTTGAAGCGAAGAGTTACTAATAAATCAATTATGGAGCGGACATTCGATACATTTCCCCTTCAATTTAATAATATCGTCAGTAGCGCAAACGTCAATAGCAAACAAATATTACTATACAATACGACTTATTAAACTTGTTAAGGTTTGTGTTGACTTGTCTATCCACTTACGTGTTAACTAATTGTAACTTTTAATTATTCAATTCTTAGAGTAAAAAATTATTTGCTTAACATACTTATGTACAGTTTAATAAAGTAGAAGCATCTATGTTAAGTATTAAGAGTATCGAATAGTTGAGATTAAAATATCCTTGAAATGTCGGTCAACCGCTGCATCCAATCGATAGGGGCCGAGTGCCGATATTTATCGCTGACACAGCACCCTTATCTACGTTACAACGACAGGATCAAATTAAAAAGCACCGATCATGCAAACCCCGTTTAGACTAAAAAGCTTCTCTTTTTCATTTTATTTTAGCATAAAATTAACAAAAAAGACTTTTTAAAGATTTCATAGAACACACATCACTAAATCTTATAAAAGTAAAATACGAGTGTAAAGAACTTGTTACAATAACTTTGTGGTTTCAGGAAATATGATCGATAACTATGCAATAGAAAAAAAACAGCCATTAATTTGTAAAAGCTATAAAAATAACCAAATCATTCAATTTAAAATTACACCTATCCTTTTGATACATTGATTTGAAGTTTGGAACATATATATACCTAGTGAAAAAAGCAGTTTGTTTTTATTATTTTTTATCAAAGGCATTTAGAATTATGCGACCAAAAATGACCAACTGATGTTCATCGGACATGGACAGCAGTTTACAAGCGTCGCTAAAATCTCTGCTTCAAGTAATCCTTGAATAACTGTCATATACGAAGCGCTCTAGTCGCTGTGTATGAATTTATCATAAATGCGGAGTAAGGCAGACGCGTGATTTTGAGGCATATTTTACGAAAAGGCTTCGAGGAAATATGAATACTAACGATGCAATGCCGTAGGCTGTAAACGTCTAGGCGGCCTACGCAACTAAGATATATATTGTGTACAATAAGAGCTTTTCAACGAGTTATATTGCTTCCGAACAACGGCGTTTATGATATTTCACTCCGTTTTGATACATAATTTAAATATTCAATGTTGACTCGGTTAGAGACATTTGTTGTTTCGAAACGATATTTTTAAGTGTTTATTTCTAAGACTTCCACGCATAAAATATAATATAAAAAGTTAAAGTCATAAGCAATAACATAATAAAATAGTAACCAGAAAAATAAGGTAAATAGTCGGGCACATAGCAACATAAAGAGTCGTATGCGTTATAGGAAATGACGCGTCGCGGAGAGCGCGGGAATTTCGTCGGACGGACGTTGACCTAAATATGCGGTTGACATTGATCGACGATGGTCGCGATATGCCGCTATACAAAACATTCGGATGTGTGGATTCCGAACGCGCCGGTTCAACGCTACATGTTTGTTATTTACAGCACGTATTTACTGATTAAATCTCTTATGTATTGGGTAGACACTGTTGGATTCTGCATTAAATAATTATTTTATTTACTTTTTATCGTATGTACTCAGATCGATTTCACCGGAGATATTTTTATTAGTATTGTCTGGGTTACTGCTGAAATATGATGATGGAGACGTCAGCATTATGTCACGCTTAGCACACAATATCTGGTATTAGGCCGCTGTTACATAAGTGATGTCGAGGCAGTAGAACCGGCGGCGACTGCAAATCAAACGATAACCCAAATTTCCGAGTGCGGCCTAGATATCTAATAAACAATAACTAATTTGAGTACAACGGGCCGGCGGGGCGACTCCGTCACACATCTACACATTTGTCGAGCTATGCTAAGCCGGTCGAGTGGCAGGGCCGGACATGCGTCAGTGACGCGATGTCAAATGCGTGGCTTCCCCGGCTTCCTTGATGTTGACTGTTGCCGGGTTGTGTTTCGGAGACATGATATCTCTGGTGTGGTTAGGTTACAAAGACGCCGTTGACAACAGTGGCGCGGCGGCATGCTGACGGTGGTGGTGAGATGGTGGCGCGAGCGGGGCCAGTGACCGCGGCACGTGGCCGCGAGATGAGCGCGTCGGGCCGGGGAGAGCCGGCGCGCGGCGGCTGTCATTGATTTTCCCCTCCCCCCGCGGCCGAGGCCGGCGCCCCCGCCGCGTCTCACCCACTTCCAGCGCCCGATAACGAGGTTAACGGGCGACGTGAGCGTCTCCTAAACTTTAATTATATCGGTACACCCGACGTGCATGTTTAACCGGGTCTCTATTCAGCAGTTTTGTTTGCGGCGCACCTGATAGCGCGACGTGGATCCGCAGCCCGCTCGGCGATTATCTGTCTGACGACAGCCAGAGCCAGACGAGATGCGAACCGCAAGCGGTGTTAGTCTCACTCTAAATTATATTATATCTATAGACGCCGCCCGGTTCGAATGGTGACAAAACTACCCCGATACGAATTTAAGCTTCGTGACATTGTAAAATACATGACATAATAATAAACCCATGTTATCGTGGTTCTACGCTCACCACTTAACAAATTTTGATTTACACTTTCATCGAAATAAGTACGAAATAATAATATTTTTTATGTATTAATTTGGTAATTTAAACAGCTGCTACACTCTAGTGTTGAAAAAGTACTAACTTTCAGACAGTGTTTTCGGTATAAAATACACTGTATAATAAATAAATATTATCAATATTAATGTTAAAGCTAAAGTTGGTTGATTCAGATCATTTGATTTTCGCTTTTAATATCTTCCAGTTTTTATATAAAGTGAATTAATTTTCTTAAAATTAAAATGTCACTTAGACTCCGACGTGATTAGGTTTTGTTCCTCAACAACATAACTAACAATATGCGAGAGCTCTTCAAAAATTCATAATGAATCATGTAAAGGCCAGTGCTCGGGCGCCGTTTAATTTAAAGTTTCGTCAAGTGGGAATAGTTTTGGATACAATTGAATAACAGCAGTTAGGCTGAACACGTTCTGTTGAGAAATCCCACTTCGCACCCGGGCCGCACTAACGATGTATAAAATTAACGATACTTATGTCATCATATTAAATTATTATACATATTGTAATTACTTCAAATTGCTTTACAAATGCTTATAACTTCATAACATTCTACTACTGTCTTGACAACTAAGACTAGTATTTACAAATTCAGTAAAAAAAACATATGTAATTCAGGATGTATTGAGAAACGACTTGTCACTTCCAGGGTATTGGTATTGGTTGACGGGTCGTTGTTTTCGCGGTTGTTAGTAATTCAAATACCCACTAATGATACGAGAAACAGGTCGAGAATAATGCTAATTTTTTACGATATAATATTCCTTGTATTCAAATAAACCTTAATTACAAACAATATCAATTCGGGAAGTTTTTCTAAGAATAAAGGCGCTAAACCGATACTGAGTTAAACCTTCAGGTGCGAATAAAAGAACTGCGAAATAAAAGTACTCAAAACTTTTGAGAGTGCCTTGTTTTAGTGCCCAACACCATTTCTAATGGCTTGTTTTTACAAGTATACCTTAAATATTTCTACAAAAAAGGGTGATCACATTTTCAAATTTTCTATTCTATAATGGTCTCTCAATGTATTCTTTATTATTAATTATATTAATTCAATTAAAATGTTAAAGATATATCGTTTGTATAGTGTGTGTTGTTATTGCGTGGGGTTATTGACTCTGTCCACGTGGTGCGCTGCACGCCGCACGCCGCCACCTGAATCATCGCGAAATCAATCGCGATCGCTTCGTAACCGTCTGGCGTTTCATTGTCAAAGTGATCGTGTTGAGTGCACGGCACCGTTTATATGATTTTTTTTGTATAGTTAGTACAGGGTGTTCACAGTTTACTTCATCGTAAGTGATTACTGTTGTACAAAGGAGGGCCTATCCCTCATATTGTGCTACGATCGCTGTGTCCATGCATTCATGAGGAATATAAAAGTTTTTGCATGTTGTTTACTACTTTATAATAAATTTTAAATGGTATATCGTTTACTTATTTTATGTTAGCGGATGGTTCCGCAAACCAGCAAACTCACATTGCCGAATGGACCAATTCGATTGGGTCAATATATATAACAGAAGCCTTTTACGCGTCTTTTAAAAGTTGTAGATACATAAGATGTAGTGTGTTTCCTGGTATCTACAATTTGATTTTTTTATGTTACCAATGACGTTATGTTAAATCGTACTAAAAGCATTATTAATACCAGTTTAAAAAAAATATATTTAGTTAATCATAGTGTCAATAGTTGCAGTAAGCTAAGCGTGTCAATGCAATGACGTAGGCGGCGACCAGACGCGAGACGCGCCGCAGTGGATTTCCAAAAAGCAAATACGGTTGCTAATTAATTTTTCATAGGGCCGGCGACGACGCCGCGCCGATATGCAAACTACCCCCGCACCCGCACGCTGCACGGCGCACTGTCGCCTGTCATCCGTCGCCGTCGCTTGTCGCCGCAACGCCGTCAATTAGTGCGGCGGAACTGCGCAACTTTACATCATTAACACCATAAAAAGACAGATATTGCGAGAAAATTTGTGCAATCAATTAGGAGTTTTAAGAGGGGTCGCGGGGGTGGATGCGTGCCGAGTGCAGCGGCGCGGGCGGGGCGGCGGGGGGTAGCGGGAGGCGGCGCGCGCATCTGTGCATTCGGCATATTTACCCCGATAGTGGGCGGGCGGGTTCACTGACCCGACCCAATGCAAGGCCTGCGTGCAGTAGGGGCCCGTTTCATTACTGCCACCGCATCGCACACCGACGCAAAAAGCTAACACTGTGCGTCAAGTGGGCACGCATGCTTTTTTTGTTTTAATCATCTGGTGGATGCAAGCGCAATTCTGTTTCAGAGATGAGCAGCCGAGTCCGGAGAAGTGAGGATGGCCGCGGGGCA